ATTTTCTTTTCTTTTAGAGGACCGTTCTTATCTAATGAGAGACTGAAAGGGAGTGGAACTGATTGCAAGAGGAGGCGGGACGGAGAGTAAAGGAAGGAGAAGCTGTAATTAGGATATATTGTATGAGAAAAGATTCATTTTCAATAAAAGAGAAAATATTGATTAGTAAAAAAATAAGGAAAGAAAGAAAGAAAGAAAACAATGGAGAGAATGGACATAGAATCATCTGAGGAAGAATCTTTATAATTGGAGTGTGTGTGCGTGTGTGTGTGTGTGTGTGTGTGTGTGTGTGTGTGTGTGCACGTGGGAGGCCAGAGGACAAAGTTGTGGGGTAATTTTACTCCTCTTCTACCTTTACATGGGTTCCAGGAATCAAACTCTGCTTGCCAGACTTTCATCTTACCATTCTAGATGCATTTTTAAGTAGGTAACATTTCAAACAACTTTTAAAATATAAACAACGTTAAATCCAAAGTTTAATCAAATTCGCTTCATAGTTATGGCCGTTAGGATTAACAATTGTTGGTAGAGACTTATGTTCGTTCCCGGGCACCCAGACCTGAAATAATCACACAGAAACTATATTAATTACAGTACTATTTGGTCAATCACTTAAACGTATTGTAAGTTAGGTCTTAAATCTTAAATTAACCCATTTTTCCATTGTTTTGTATTTTACCACGAGGCTCGTGGTCTATCAGTAAACTGGGCATCTGTCTCCACAGCTACATGGCGTCTCTCTAACTCCTCCTATTTTCTTCCAATATTCAATTTATTTTTCCTGCCTAGCTGTATTCTGCCCTGCCTCAGGCCCAAGAACTTCTTTATTCCAACAAAAACAATACATATACAAAAGGACTTCCCACACCAAACAACAACAGAAGAAAACACTGGCAAATAAATATCTTTGGTCATTCTTACAGACTATCAAGGGAAAGGGCTCAGTTTGCATGAGTCCATACAGAGTTGAAAACTATACCCTTGCCATAGATGCAACAATACTAGAAACAGACTCTCTCAGAATTTGCCTCATTGAAAATATGTGCAGCCAGAATAATTGTCATGTTAATTTACTGTTAAAAACAGTATTGCTGTAAAAGAAAATTATGAAATATAATTTAAAAATAAGAAGAGAAAATCCATGTTTATTTTACTTACCAATATTTATGTTACCTGCAGACCTGAGATTTCTCATTTCAGCCAATGATGCACGGTCCCAAATAGTAGATATGCTGATACTTTGTTTAAATACAAGTTTTTCATTTTTTGTTTATTTCTTGAGATTATAACTTAGTTATATTTTTTCTCTCTTTCCTCACTCCAAACCCTCCCATAAATGCCACCCCACTCTCTTTCAAATTCTTGGCCTCTGATGTTGAAAACAAAGGGATGGTTCCTGCAGCACTGATTCACCAGTTCTCTGTGAGACTTAGAGAAATCATAAGGTTTACTAGTTTCATCCAGTGCTTTGCCCAATACTGATAATCTGGACACTGGGAACTAGGTCATCATTAAAAAAAGCAAGCAAGATGGATTTCCAGGTACCAGCATCTGAGCAAGCATTCCCTGGGTGAGAAACCTCCTGCAGCCAATGTTTACAAGCACTCACTTAGACTCTTAGAGCATGGATGGGAAGCTCCGAGTGGCATAGTTGGTCCTTGAGCGTCAGACTTCTTCCTCTCAGATTCCAGTTGCAACTGTGGAGCGTGACTGAGAGGAAAGGCACTACCTTTGATGAGGACTCTGCCCAGAAATCCTAGCAGTTTGCACTTTCAGGCTTAAATTCTTAGAACATAAATACATGAACTTGATACTAGCAGTAACTCCACCCTGTGCCATTTTCACAAGGGAAGGACAATTAATTTTAAAAGCCATTGCCAAAATGTCAAACACTTATCACATCATCTTACTATTCTTCTTAAGGTGAATAAGACTGGTTAGAAATTCATCTAGAGCACTGAACTAACCTGAAATTAGAGTCTGAATAATTTATCTCTTGAGTTTTTCATTAGCGAATGTTATTTAAATAACTAAAAGTGACTGTGGAGTAGGTAACCAACTACTCTTTGGTTAAAGCCCAGGCTTCCTCCTCAGAGAAGAAGGGGGACCAAGGATTGGTACTGTGAGCCTGGCTAACAGTCCAAATCTTGAGAGGTAGTAAGCCCATGTGAGAAACTTATAAATAAAGTATAAATAAATGACAGAAGCAAACTGTCTAAATAGCAATATTTATACTCATAGACAAAAGTGTTTCCCAGGCTTAATCAGAAGAACTTCCACTTACAACGGCAGGGAGTGTAGCCACCCATGACTGCTCAAGACACAGAGTGAATGACAAATGTGTTTAGTCAAACACTAAACAAGGCATTAATATCACCCCTATAGGGCTCAGAAAACATTGCAGAAGAGGTGAAGATTTTAAGAGTTGGAATATAGGGTGAATAGCCGTGAGCAATTGTTAATTGGAAATATCTTCTAGGCGGTGAATGGGAGCTCATACCAACTTCCCCATCCAAGTGCTGAGATTCTGTCTGGTTTGTACTTGTGTTGGACCTGTGCGTATTGTCACAGTCTCTGAGTGCTCATATGTGATATGCACTATTATATCTGAAAACACACTGCTTCTTTGATATTATCCAACCCTCTAACTCTAACGATCTTCCTGCCTGCTCTGCAACATAGTTCTCTGAATCCTGAAGACATCACATTTAGGACTGGGTGTTCTAAGGTCTCTCATTCTCTGTATGTTGATCAGTTGTTGGCCTCTGTGTTAGTTTTCACCTATTGCAGGAGGAGACTTCTCTTATGACAAGTAAGTGAGGCACAGATCTATAGTTACATCAGAATATCATTTGGAGTCATTTTTATTGCTATATTCCTTCAGCAGAGCAAAAGTGTTGGTTTCCCTTGTTCAGCGCATGATTTGGCAGTCATGTTGGTGACCCTTCATCATTGTCCTTTCTTTGGTTCTTACTACTCTTTCCGTTGACTAATCATTACATAGACTGAGCAATTTGTGTTTATTTAGGAACATATATGTGCAAGTATGTGTGTATGTATATATGAATGTATGTATGTAACAACAATTAATAACAAAAAAAGGTCATGAATTTGAAAGAGAGAAGGGAGATTATATGGGAGGGTTTGAAGTGATAAAAGGAAAGGAGGAAACGGTGTAGTTATAATCTCAAATAATAAAATGAGTAATCTTTAAAAATGCAAACAAAAATGAAAAATAAAATTAAGCAAAAAAAATCAAACAATAGTGACTTTGACCCAGGCATATACTTGTCCCTTTTATTTAGTTCATAAAGTCATAGGTTTCTGTATCATTTTTCCTCATTCTTAGTGTTTGTTTATCCCTCCCCAGCACTCCTACTTTCCCTCATCCCTGCTCCAATTCCCATTTAAACATTTCAATTCCTAGTATGTGCACCCATGCTTTCACATAATATGTGTTTTGTGTTTCCTCCTCCCCAAGCCCCTTCCTTTTTCACAGCTTATCTGATTCCTCTCTTGCTTTCAGGGTCTTAAAGGAGTTTTAACGGAAATATGAAAATTTAATGCTAGGATCCACATGGAAAATAGAACATATCAAATTTGTCATTCTGGACCTGGGTTACCTACCTCAGTCTAGATTCATCCATTCATATGAAAATTGTTTAGTTTCAGTTTTTCATCATGGAATAAAATTCAAATATATACATATATATATATATATATATATATATATATATCCACATTTCATTACCCATTCACCAATCAATAAACACTGGAGAATTCCATTTCTTATCTAGGAGTGAATAGAGCAGCAACTAACACAAATGTACAGATATTTCTGTTGTAGGTTTGAGTCCTTTAAGTAAATGTCCAGGAGTTTATATTGTTCTATTTTTATCTTTTTTTACAAACCCTAAATTATTTCTATAGTGGCTATAATAGTTTACCATTTCACCGAGTTGAATAAGGGATCCCTTTTCCCTGGATCCTGGTCAACATTAGTTGTCATTTATCTCATAGAAATTGAGAGTAGAGTAAAGGTCACTGCAGGTTAGAAAGGGTGAGTAAGAGGAGGAAGAGAGAGATCTGGGTTAAAAATAATTTCAAAATATGTTTCAATAGGAGAAATACATTCTAAACAGACTAAGGTGATCACAGTTCATAATAACTTATTTTATATATTACAAAAAACAGAACAGAATTCTAAGCACCAAAAAATGAGAAAATGCCATAGAAATCCTTATCATCCTGATATGATCATACATATTATATAATATGTTACTAAATTGCATCTATTGCATTAATATATAAATTATCCATACTCTAATTCTGATGCAGAGTATAATTGACTATGTCAATTTAAATTACTTAGGGAAAATAAACCTACATAAAATATCAGTAGATATTCCTATATAAATACAGAAAATCAATGAACTTCTTTAACCAATGTTTGACCTTATTTGACCCAGGAGATTCTTAACAACCTTCTTGACTTCCTCATTATGAGAATAAAGATTAAAGGATTCAACAGAGTTGTCACTAGTGTGAAAAACACACTCACAACTTTGTCAATGGGAAAGGAGGTCATTGGCCTTGCAAACAAATATGAGCAAAGTATAAAGAATAAGACAATGACAGAGACATGATGAACACAGGTAAAGAGGGTTTTTGCAATGCCCTTCAGAACTGTAATTACTCAAAATATAAACAAGGAATGAAGGATGACCACAGAAGGAGCAGTAAGCATACAGAAAGTGAGTAAACACAGTGACCCACTATAGGCAGCAATCAGTGGCCCAGGAGAGTGTCAGGGCAGACCAGTTCCAGAAGTGACATAAAATCACACATAAAGTGATCAATAATATTTGGGCCAAAGAATAGTAATTGAGACAGGAATAAAATCTGTGTTTGTCCATGGATGAATCCCAAGATTACAGCAGTGAAACTGGATGATGTGATATAAGGGAAATAGCCAAGCACAGAAAGCCAAATGTTGAAAGTTCTCACTCAAATGCAAAAGCCATGAAGTTTTATCCCACTAGATTTGAGAGTAGAACAGTGCTCATAGATACTAGGAGAACAGAAAACAGAGTAATATTGTGAAGTTGAATAACAGGAACCAAAATACATGTGTATCAGTGGAGCACATACTAAACACTGGGAAGAACATGGTTCACAACAATTTATTATATGTTTTATAAAGAACTAGAAAAGAGTTTAAAGGTTTACAACACACAAGAAGCCATGGTCATTTAATGAGATAAAAATGTTTTTCACCATAATTTTCACATATATATTATCTACATAGATTGTCACACTGAACTCCATTCAGAGATATACTTACTACTCAATGAAAATTTGGTGGAGATAGAATATAATTAACTGTCATCATTTTACTCGTTTAAGAAGGAGAATGAGTGTCAATAAAACAACTCTAGTTATTTTTAAACACACAAATCCCCAGGTTTATGTATCGCTAGCTTTGCACATTTGACCCAGCAGCTTCTTCATAACCTTTTTGACCTCCTCATTTCTGAGGGTATAGATTAAAGGGTTCAGCATAGGTGTCACCAGGGTACAAAATACAGTCACAGCTTTGTCAGTGGGGAAGGAAGTCATAGGCCTCAGGTACAGGTATGAGCAAGGTACAAAGAATAAGACAACGACAGTTACATGAGAAGCACAGGTAGACAGGGCCTTGCGACGACTTTCTGAGCTGTGATTCCTCAGGGAGTGAAGGATGGCTATATAGGAAGCAACCAGCATAGAGAAAATGAGCAAACAGAGTGACCCACTGTTGGCAGCAATCAGAGGCCCAAGAGTGTGAGTGTCAGTGCAGGCCAACTCGAGGAGTGGTATTAAATCACACATAAAGTGGTCGATGATATTTGGGCCACAGAATGGTAATTGGGCCATAAATAAAATCTGTATTCCTCCATGGATGAATCCCAGGATTACAGCAGCCCTCACCAGGAATATACACACAGGTCGGCTCATGATAGTTACGTAATGTAAGGGCTTGCAGATGGCTACATAGCGATCATAGGCCATGGAAATCAGCAAGATGATTTCAGCTGCAGCGAAAAAATGCTCAGCAAAAAGCTGAGTCATGCAGCCATTGAAGGATATGCTGCTCCTCTCAGAGATCAAGTCATAGATCATTTTGGGTGCTATGGAAGAAGAGTAGAAACCATCTATGATGGACAAGTAGGACAGAAAAAAGTACATGGGAGTAGCCAGGGCCGGGCTGGTGAAGATGGTGACTGAGATGAGTGTGTTACCTGCCAGCGTGATCAAATAGATTACTAAGCACACAATAAATAAGAGTTTCTGCAGATCTGGATCTTGAGTCAAGCCCAGGAGGATGAATTCTGTGACATTGTTCATCCTTTCATTGGTTTAGTGCAGGCTGAAGCCATATGGTCATCTGAAAAAAAGATACAAAGTCCCATTAATGTTATTATAAAACTAAACTGAAATACTTTGTTATCTCATTGTTGTAACTGCTGAAATAGAAAAGCTACATTTACTTTTACACTTAATATCACTTTGCAGGAATTTTGAAGATGGGAAGTAGGTTAGCTTACTACTAATACTTTATCATAACACCACAAACAAAACAAAATCTTATGCTTGTTGGCTGAAAGTTAGGTGTCAACCTAAAATAAAAAAACCTAGGAATAATCTCAAACTTGACTTTCTTCATTGTTTTTTTTTCTTGTGGGAAAATATGAATCTCAACTTATTTGAAACTACATTTGCACATGAATGTGAATGTTAAAATCTAGGAACACACTGTACATGAAATTTATTGGCACACTAAAGAACAAAAGCCCTACTGGATGTAAGATTTTTGTATGATTCCTCTGTACTATATGAGGTACATGAACCAGGGACAGACAGAACTACAGGGAGAGTTACTCTCTGGATGACAAAAGAACATCTTTTTACAGCTCACTGAGTATAATTAATTCTAGAACAGCAGCTTTTCTGCTTCTTTCATGATCCCACTCTTTGTAGATGTAAAGGCTCCAAAATCCTTCTGTGTCCTCACAGTATTTCATAAATTTTTCCCAGATGTTGAACTATTTCCGCATTTAGGATTATGTTCAGGGTTAGGTAAAATTCTGCAGGGCACTCACTGTTTGTAACAGAGTTTTATGAGGTGAGCTTGCCTAGCAGAGGGCTGGCTAATAAAACAGATTTTCTGTTTTTTGTATACATCCAATCAAATCAGTGAATTTACAGTTTTCATTGATAACAATTGGGAATGTTGATGTTATCCAAAAATGTTTTCTTTTAATTTCTATACATGTGGACTTTCACTAGCATGGCAGTGTTTCTACAAAAGAGGAGAGATTTTATTCTTTCTCTTCCTTTTTCTGCCTCTTTTCACAACACCCGCCAAAAAGCAAGCGACATAATTTTCTTCCCATAACATCCATATTCTGGATGGAGAGGTCAGCATCAAGGCCCCTCAGCCACAATATGAGTGAGGAAAATACATTTGGTTTTTAGAGAAGCTTAGTCTCTGAGTGGCTCCCTTTTATTCACTGGACCTGTATATGGGGACTATGTTGTTAATCATTCTCAATGTATTTAACTTAAAGTTCTAACCTCAAAATATCAGTGTGGAAAATGGAAAAGGCGAAAAGTCCTCAAAATGTTACAAACAAGACTTCAGAATCAGAGTATTTAATGACATTACTGAACATAATAATTTAAAAGTGACTTCAACCATTCTCAATATCACCTACTTGACTATTCCTACAGATTATTTAATGTTACTGTGTTTCATGTTTTTATTTTCATAGCAAGATATTATATTTTGAATCCACAATAAGATTACGAGTTCCAATTCAGTAAGAATAAATTGTTCAAATCAAGTGAATCGCCTTAAAATATGTAAAGAAACAATGCAGTGTAGTTGAATATAGAGATGTCCTTGTTTGAAGTTTAGTGTAGTTATTGTTTCTTCTCCTTTGAATATATGCAGCACGATTTTCCACAGACTCTGTGAACTGACATCTCTCTAGACAGTTCTCCAGTGTGCATATTTTCATTTTTTATTTCCTTCATCACAACTGACTCTGAAACAAGCTATTCCTGAGATATATTTATAGACATATGTGTTTCCATAATATATAAATATACTTCAAGTTAAAAGTACTTGAAATAATGCCAAATATTTCAAAGCAGAAGGCATTTGTGTATTGCACTATAAAATGTGTAAGTGCATAGCATAGCTAGAAAGGATCTGATTTCCTCTACCACTCTGGGCGCCTGCTTTACTTCTTAGTAGCCTTTGAACATTGTGTAGAGAGAATTTCTTTCAATCTTAAGTCAAGTTTTCCTGTAACTTACCTTTGTATAAACTCACTGAGACCAAGCAGTGTCTCTTGAACAAATCTTGTTACCACATCTCTAATCACTGGCTCACAAAACCTGTGGAATTCCTTCTTCCTTGATTCTAAACAACTGTTTAAATAGACTTCCAGATATGATATAGGATCTGGTAATGTTTTGGCCTCTCAAGTACCCAAAGGACTGATAATTGTTTCTGTTGAAATACTTGCCAAGACAGAGTCAAGGTCATCTGCGCACTCCCACTTGGTGCCCACAAACTTCATTAGCAGTGACTTATTTTAAGAATGCACTTGGGAGTCCTCCTCCCGGTGTCCCGCCATGGCTGCGCGCTTGCTGCTCCGCTCCCTGCGCGTCCTGAGCGCCCGCTCCGCGCCTCGCGCGCCGCCCTCCGCCCGATGTTCTCATTCTGGAGCAGAAGCACGCCTGGAAGCCCCTTCTGCTAAAAAATTAACTGATATTGGAATCAGAAGAATCTTTTCCACGGAGCACGACATTTTCCGGGAAAGCGTAAGGAAGTTTTTCCAGGAAGAAGTGGTTCCTCACCATACAGAATGGGAGAAAGCTGGAGAAGTGAGTAGAGAGGTGTGGGAGAAAGCTGGCAAGCAAGGCTTGCTGGGCGTCAACATTGCAGAGAAACATGGCGGGATTGGTGGAGACTTGTACTCAACAGCGATTACTTGGGAGGAGCAAGCATACTCAAACTGCACAGGCCCTGGGTTCAGTCTCCACTCAGATATTGTCATGCCCTATATTGCAAATTATGGCACAAAAGAACAAATTGAACGCTTCATCCCCGAGATGACGGCAGGCAAGTGCATCGGCGCCATAGCAATGACAGAGCCTGGTGCTGGAAGTGACTTACAAGGAGTAAGAACAAATGCCAAAAAATCTGGGAGTGATTGGATTCTCAATGGAAGCAAGGTGTTCATCACTAATGGCTGGTTAAGTGACCTTGTGATTGTAGTCGCCATAACCAATCGTGAAGCTCGATCGCCTGCCCATGGCATTAGCCTCTTCCTGGTGGAGAATGGAATGAAAGGATTTATCAAGGGCCGGAAGCTGCACAAGATGGGAATGAAAGCTCAGGATACGGCAGAACTATTCTTTGAAGATGTCCGATTGCCAGCTAGCGCCCTACTTGGGGAAGAGAATAAAGGCTTCTACTACCTCATGCAAGAGCTCCCACAGGAAAGGCTGTTAATTGCAGATTTGGCAATTTCTGCCTGTGAGTTCATGTTTGAAGAAACCAGGAACTATGTTAAGCAGAGAAAAGCTTTTGGGAAAACAGTTGCACACATACAGACGGTGCAGCATAAACTAGCAGAATTAAAAACCAACATATGTGTAACCAGAGCCTTTGTGGACAGCTGTCTGCAACTGCATGAAGCAAAACGTCTGGACTCTGGCTCAGCTTCCATGGCAAAATATTGGGCATCTGAATTACAAAACAGCGTAGCTTATCAATGTGTACAACTCCATGGAGGCTGGGGATATATGTGGGAGTACCCGATTGCAAAAGCTTACGTGGATGCTCGGGTTCAGCCAATCTACGGTGGTACCAACGAAATAATGCGCGAACTGATCGCCAGACAGATCGTCAGCGACAGCTAGACATGTGCCTCCGTCCTCGAATCCTATTACCTACGGCTAATCTGGATTCAAATCTCCTTGAGATAAAATGCAACCTGGAAAGCGGGGAAATAGTAAAGCTGTTTTTATGTACAGTTGTTAAAGAGAAGGAAATAAAATATAAAGATAAAGATAACACAGGGAAAAGAAAACTTTTGAACCCAAAAGAGTCTAAAGTTATGCTGTAAAAGGCTTAACTTTTTTTTTTTACAGTGAATTATCAAAAATTTTCTAACTTGAGAGCCTTAATATCTTGTCTTTCAAATTATGAAGAGGATAAATCACTGTGATCCTTAAAGTTGGGGCAGAAATAATTTTATATTCTTATAACTATAGTACTTACAGACTTTGAAAAGGCAAAATAATTGTAATTCACAGAAAGTCATTTCAGCTACGTTTTGTTCCAAATCCCCTAGAACACTGGTTTCCGCCATCTTTCCACCTACCCCGTGCTTTTTAAACAATGACCAGAACCTTTTCTTCAGAAAAGGCCAGACGGTACCATATATAGTACACAGAGTCAATTATGTATCAACTAAAAATAAAGTAAAATTTTCAAACAAAAAAAAAAAAAAAAGAATGCACTTGGGTGGGTATTAAATTGGTATGTACATTGAAGTTTAAGATAAGACCTGAGTGCTATATTTTTGAAAGCTCCTTTATTAAAATTTTGTAAATTTCTCTTGTTAATTATAGTTTCATCGATGCTGGCCTAGTATATGGAGTAATTTTAAGTATAGTTTATAATTCAGAGAGTGGACTTATCACACAAAAAAACATGATTAGGTTAAAGGATACTGTTACTTAAAGATTGAAATGACAGTACCCAGGAATTAGGGATTTTGATATTTTTATTAACGGCCCATTTAGTCAACAAGACAAAACAGGACACTTAGCTCCGGGACAGGAATTTTTTAAAAGTCAGAGACACCATTTTTCATTCAGTGTGATTGCCTACCTCACATGGTGTCCTGTGTAACTGAGAAGCATGAAAATTTTATCTCCACTACAAAAGGAAAAGATACTGATTCTTAAAGTTAGGTGCCATATTCTCAGTAAGTAGGAATTGAGAAAGTCACACATACAAGGATTTATATATGAATATATGAACAGAGTTAGGGAAGAGAATCACTCTATAAAAAAGGTTCCAGTAGCTCCTGAGGTGATGTCAAACTCACTGAACCATCATATGTAATCATATTTCTGTTGATGTTATCAGTCTTAGAATTTAAACAAGAGCAATATGCTCCTGAATACAAAGACCAATGAAGCAAAGCAAATCTTCCAACTCTATTGTTAATAGTCAACTTTTGGTGCCTTTGTTTACCACCAACCTCATTCATGGGCCTCTCTATATTTAACAATTTCAATTATAAAGTATAGTTTGGTGCCATTAAGCATATTCCCATTATTATAAACCATTTTTCTCATCAATATCTATGAAATTGTTGAGGCCGTGATAGATTAGGGGATATTGTTACAAGTTTCTTGGAGCCAGGGAGTAGAATGTGGTAGTTTGTAACTGGCCCCGTAATCTCACAATAAGTGGTACTATTAGGTGGTATGACCTTACTGAAGTAGATGTGGTCTTACTGGAGGAAATGTGTCACTGTGGAAGCAGCTTTGAGACTGCATATAAGATCAAGGTACCACCCACTGTCTGAGCCCACTTCCTGTTGCCTTCTGATCAAGATGTGGTCAGCACCATTTCTGCCTACACTCTGCCATGCCTCTATGATGATGGAGAATGGCCTGAGCTTGGGTGTCCTGACACTGGATCTCTAGACCATGCTGGCTTCAAACTCAGAGATCCACCAGCCTCTGCCTGCTGAGTGTTGGGATAAAAGGTGGTCACCCCCACATCCAGTACTAATCTTTTCTTTAGTTCCTTTTTGCAAGTTGGAAAAATAGCTGGTTGGGATCTTGTCCTGAGGTCACCACTCTCTTTATTCTATTTCTTAATCTGTTTATTTCCTTGAACACAATACTTAGCTCCATTCAACTTCCTGGTACTCTTTTTCCTCAAAATTTATATTTTGGAATTTACCATGCTCAGCTTTCTCCTTTTCTTTATAAATCTTTGTTAGAGCTACCACTAATAACCACTCAACATAGTTTATAGTAGGCTGTTTTGAGATTTCTGCTGCCAGTGGAATTAATTCAAAGCTCTTCACAATTGCGATAGTTACTTGTTAATATACTCTAGTCTTAATATATATAATTTTAAAACACTGAAATTAGTAAATGTTACAGAATAATTGTTTACACTGTAAAGACATATCTTTACCAAGACCCCTTCTGATTGGTTTAATAAAGAGCTGAATGGTCAATAGTTAGGGAGGAAGAGGTTAGAGGTTTGGGAGCTGAGTCTGTTTGGATGCACACCTTTCTAGACCTGGAGGGAGTGGGGGTCTTGGACTTTCCACAGGGCAGGCACCCTGACATCTCTTAGGACTGGAGAGCGAGGGGGAGGGGGGAGAGTGGGAGGGAAAAGGGAGGATGGGAAGAGGTAGAAATTTTTAATAAATAAATAAATAAAAAGAAATCAAATAAAATGCAAACATTGTGTTCTCTCACCTATGTAGGGGTGCTGAAAACAGCCATGTCAATAATATGAGTAGAAAGGTAATTGCCAAGTACTTAAGATAGATGAATTCTGGAGAGGCACAGTCAAGTGACCGTACTTAATGATTCTAAATCACATACTTGAAATTTGCCATGAGGGTAGGTGTTTCTTATTATAAAAAAAAAAAAA